AAACTCCAAGAGAATCTCAGAATATTAATGAACATATTCGAGTCAATGAAAACAAACAAACCAGTTCCACGTGCGTTTAAATTGACAGCTTCGGCCAAAAGCGCTTGAATCTAATAGTTGAGGTTGATTAATTGACTGGATTTTATCAGGATATGTATTGAGTAATTATTTCATGAATAAGGAGCGGGCTAACTGAGTCTTAAATTTAAAAATTTTCAATATCGGCAACAAATAAAACTCTTGCGTTTGACAGCTCGCTGGTCGCGGCTCGTCACATGTCACACTAACCTCAAAATGTGGTCCTTCATCTGGCTTTATTGCGGCAATCCACTGCGATCGCTGTGTTTCGTTTGAGGGAAAGTTAAAAAACGACAAATCCTTTCCACTTTCGTTGCGTTTGTCGTTAGTACAGCAATTTACAGAACAATGATCGTTTGCCATATTTGTATATGGTATCTCCACTCAAAGCCCTTGTATATACAACCCTTCAAGTGCCGGCATGCCCGTCCAGCCTCGCTTTGGTGCGGCGCGCAATCCAAGATGGCGGAAAGTGATATTGGAGTATACTCCTTCTTCACATTTACTGTGTACGTATTCAAAACACCTTCAGTAAAATACAGGTCTTGTCTTTGTACTTCTGTAAGCTTATGTCATGTGGAGTTTCGAGTGAAATCGATTTCATTATAGGTTTAAGTTCCCATTTTTGATGGCTTTAGTCTACACCATCATCAAAAGGTATGTATGGCGAGAAACTTAAAGCGAGTTGTGAACTTTCAAATTTATCGAAACTCTATCTAATCAATCATGCTTGCTAAAGGGGAGAAGACACAATAAGTGATTAGCATAACAAGTCCATGCACAAATTTGATTCAGATAAAAGCTTTGGAAGGTACAGATACAAACAAAAACAAAAACTCTAGACCACATTGAGAACAACAGTAAGCTATAGGAAGCAAAGTCACCAAACTCTGCATTAGTGAGTGACTTGCCTTGCGCCAAATCGTTTGCGTTTTCTCTTTAATTTACTGCTCATTTGCCCTCTCGCCAAACTGAAACCACCACTGAGCTTCGCAAGCTATTGAACTTGTGTGCAAAATTCTTGGAGTGTAAATTCCGTCGTCCGAGTCTTCTTTACCCTTATCCGAAATATAGACTTCTAAAAAGGCGTGTGTTACATAAACAAAAGGAAATATAGAATTGAAAAGGCAATATGTAATACGGCACTGAAATGGGAAAACATGCTTTGTCGAAACACGCATAGCCTTTTGGGTTAAACTGGGTGAACAATTAGCAGTGCCCCTATGTAAGTGCCCGGATATTACGGGAACGATTGCGGAACGGAAGAGGATTTATAACTGGGCTTGACTTGAGGCCGCCCAGTAAAAATCCAGTCTGCATATGCCCAAAAATAGGGACAAAACAATGCCAAAAAAACATGACGTCACTTGGGGTGTTATTCACTGTGACTTCAAAGCGCTAGCTTTAATAATGAAAATAATGAAAATTCTTACAAGTATTTTAACAAAGTAATCAGAGTAATACACACAGTATACTTTGTTTTGAGTTTTTAAAGTTGTCGGCATACAATGAATTATGCGCCCTTAAAGATAATAGGGTAAATGATGAGTTTGCCATTTACTTGTTGTTGCATAGTTATTAAGGTGTGTTTACCAAATTTAAAGTAAAAAGCAGTCCTGCGATGAGCAGCTAGTCACAGCACCTCTTGTATTTGGAGACCAAAAATATATTTTCAGTCACAGAAAACAAGGTTAAGCATATCATGAAACGTGCATGATAGTGATTATGATCTAGAGAAGGTGTGGGACTTTCCCCCTGGGCAAAAGAGAATTTAAAAAAGCTTCTTATTTTGCCGCCTGGGTTTCCGGTTTCATTTAGCTTCTTCCTTGCTACTGGTTTTGCATGCGTTTCCTTTTCAGTATTTTTCGATTCCTTTCTTCATTTTGTGTTTCTGTTTGGGACTTTTTGCTTTCGTGCTTAGTTACGCGTTTTTGTCAGTTGTAGACTCTGAGACTAAATTGTACGTCGCGCATTTGTGTTGAAGGTTCTATGTTTCCATTTTGTTTTTATGGGCCAAGCATTATGCCGATGGGATTAATCTGAGATCTGTGAGATGTTGGTCTTTTTTCATGCGATTATTTTGCTCCAATAGCGGGCTTTTCTTTGTTATGCAGTTGACGCCAAAGACAATCACGTATCTTGCTCAAATAAACAAGCTGACCCCAGAGCGTGAGAACATTGTATGCCTTTGCCGACATTGGTATGGTTGGCGCAACTAAACCAAAAGCAATCTGAATCCCTGAAATTATCCAATAAGAAACGAACTGTAACCAGAAGGAAAAAAGCACAAAAGTAAACCAACGTTGGACTCGCTTATCTTCAGACAAGTCTTTGATGTTAACGTAATTCAGTGTATAGACCACAATCAGTATTCCTAAGTCATCCATGATGTACAGACTTATCACAGCCTTGCCGCTTTGCTTGTGTGGACCCATGTGGCCTTCGTCCAAAAGAAGAAAAACGAAGCGCACGGCACCAGCAATGTAATACCCCAAAAGAGGTAACGTATGTTCTCTATCACTCCACACCTTTTTCAGAACATTCTTCAACACTTCACATCCGGTCTCCCGGAGGCAAAAACCAACAAATATTGCGCGACACGACAGTTGTAAGAGAACAAAGTGCAGTTCCACGATCAAAGCGATTTTCTGGGGGATTCCGTGAGGGGAAGTGCCATTTATGCAATGATAATGAGCACGATGTTTATGGTGAGCACATTCATAGGAATGATACAAGTATACAGATAATAGAGGAATACCCACAACTGTAAGGGCAATAAGAATATAAAACGACATCTTCCATCGCCAGCTCCAACGGCTCCACTCCGATGAGTCCTCTATTGCTTCATGGGCACGTTCATCCTCCGTTGTTTCGTTGTTTGTTTGCTCGTCGTCAGTCGCGGTACTCGTACCACTTATATTTATTAGGCCGATTTTATCATCCTGTTCAGCGTATTTCTTTCTTCTACACTGCTTGATGTGCTTAGAGGACCACGACTGGGATCGACTATCGCAAGACGCTGCAGGGCGATTTGTTGTTTGTATGTTGTTGTTTTGCTCGCCCTGCCTCGTTACACTTAACGGCAGTTTGATTTCTCCATCCCGTCGATCAGAGGACCCTGCAGGCTGTGCAGGGCGGTGAAAGCCTACAGCCCCTATGGCAGCCATTGCGGCTGCCCCCAGTTGTTCTTGAATAAAATAGAGGTTCACTCTAATAAGTCTTTCAATAACACTAGGACGGTCTAGAACCTGACGACGTCGAGGATGTGATAAGTGCTCACTCATGGAACCGTAGCTTTCAAATGATATATTCGAACCTGGCCCAATTTACCTTACAACGGTGGTGGACGCGAAAAAGGACGCCTTCATACGTAACTGTCTTGACACATTTTCCGGGTCTGACTTATATATTATTCCTATTTATATTCACGACTAAGAGACGGGAATGGGTGTGCAGCTCGAACTATGGAGCCTGAGTGTTTAATGCCGTCCAAATAACATACAAAGTTCAACATCATAACTAAAGAATGGTATTCAAATATTCCTAAATAAAGTCACTCAGGCTAAACTATTCACGTGCCCCGCCTGATACGAAAACCCAAAAAACCCTATGGGAAAAAATTGGGAACGTATTCCCCAACCGATGCGGTCGCACAACCTCTGGGGGTTAAAGGTAAAAAATCAATCGATAGATGAATAAAGTAAGATATAAAAATAAAATTTGATAGTTCGAGAGCTGAGATGAATACATTACAACTGTCAAAACCTTATATACCTTACAACAATAGAGTCAATTAACGCCATAGCGGCTCACGTGCGTTCATACCAATAGGATAGTATTTACATTCTCTGTCACTGCCACTACGTTTAGCTCCGCCGAATGTAAATACATTTCCTATTTATATTCACGACTAAGAGACGGGAATGGGTGTGCAGCTCGAACTATGGAGCGGCTGAGAAAACAAAGAACGGGAAACAATACAGTCCAAGAGACATAGAGACCGCTAATCGGCTCTCTATCGAGTCTGCAAAGTAACCATCCTAGCGTTTTCCGAACGCCATCTACCATGGCGCTTAAACATTCTATCGGAGATACCACCATTAGCGGCGGCAGATGCACCGCCACTTCTGAAGCTGTGCCAAGAGAAAGACTTAAGATCTAAGCCCACGTCTGTAGTCTTCTTCAATAAAACTTCTCTACATCTTGTAGTCCATCCGCCCAGGCTCCAAATGTCTTGTAAGAGCCAGACTTGGTTGAATATTTCCGAACAAGTAGTCGTCTCCACCTTGGGAAGATGTCGGTAAAGTGAGTTTGGCTTACGATAAGTACTTCTCTAAATTACCCCAGGGGAAAACAATCCGTGCCAGACTTGACAATAGGGACAATAGCGCCCTCGTGAAATTGATCAGTTTTACTACTTTCAATAAAAGCTCAAAACGAGTGTCATGCAGAGCTAAATCTTTAAGTTTCGGATTAGCCAATTCGTCAAATCTTAAGAACCCCGCAAAGGCCAGTAACGCCATGGCGATGAATCTCGTGTCCACCAAAGATCCATCGAGACTCTGAAAAAACGTTAGTAAAATTTCGGGTGTAATGGGGAGCTTTTTGGAAGTAAGGTGTAATAGCCTTCTCTTAGCGGACTCCACGACCTTCTGGAGAAGTGTATGATTGGTAGGAGAGTCGAAACCAGCAAAATCATGAGCCCAGCGGATGCTATAGAGGGCGTTCTGGACCGGCGCAGGAGAACTAGAAGCCTGGAGAACACTGAGCAGGTATGAAGAAACGTAAGCCGGAGTAGCAGGCAGCACTGCGACCTCGGGAAATCTGTTGGCCCAAGCACGCCATCGCTTAAAACTGTTGAGGTAGGTGAGAGTAGTCGAATCTGCCCTGGAACCAAGGACTACCTCCGGGAGCTCTGACATCGTTAAGCTCAGCCCACATAGGGCTAGCGAAAAACATCTGAAAAACAGAAGAAATAAAAGACCATATGGATTCAATATAAGGACTTAAAAGATGAAAAAGATGCACGAGAAAAAAGGAGCAGAAAAAGGAAACGCGCGGTAATATGTAGTGAAAAAACATACAACTATCACACAATACATAACAAGAGAGTGGCCACCGAGGCGCACGCGACCATATATATGGGGGACCTGGAAGGATTCAAAACTGACCGAGGTCACGCAAGAATGTAACGGTACGACCCGTCGGGATCAGTGAAGGTACAAACAAGGTCACCGAGACCCGCGTAAATGCCACCGAGGCAAAAGAAAAAACAGAACAAATCACTCAAAAATAATAAACCACACTTAATATAGGCTAAACAATAACTACACGTAACTGCGGAAAAGAAACTAAGCCTAGAAGCACAAATCTAACAAGCCGACAAACGGACGGCTAATACATGAGACTAAAGTTAGGGCCATAAAAAATAGACTCTGTGGAGCCCGGAACAAAAATATTAGAAACATTGGTAAAAGACAATGGTCTCTTTAACGCAAAAGGAAAAGGGGGAATGGGGACCAAAGAGCATGGGCCAAAATGGAGCTGAGACCCACTCGGGGACAATAATAGCGCCCATGGACCGACATACAAACAAATGCCTAATAACCCTGGGAACAAGGGACACTGGGGAAACGAGCTAGTTATTCTCCCCCGCCCTGTCAAAACAAAAGGCATCCACCCCCTCCAAGTCAGGATACCAGAAACGAGAAAAGAATCTGGGCAATTTGCGGTATTAGAATGGGCAAAACGATCTACGGAAGTGGCCCCCAAATGTTGTCTACAAGGCGAAAAAATTCAAACGAAACACCCCAATCATGATCATCAAAGTCAACGATCCTGCTGATGGCATCCGTGTGCCCATTGAGAGACCTAGGAATCCAGTCCACCTGCAAATCAATACCATTAATTCGCAAAACTAGCTGAAAAATAGAGACGGAAATTTCGTGTAAACCCCGCTTCATACTCCCGTTGCGAATAATGGACGGAATGTAGCGGTTATCCGTAAACCATTAAATCGCGCGCCCTGACAAAACTACGGAAAAACTAGAGAGACAAATATAGCTGGGAAACATTTCATTAGCAGTCCACGGACGATGACAAATAACACCCTCGTGGTCTTAACAACACCGCCAACCCCTAGATCACTAGCATCTGAATAAACAATGGAACGAGAACATGAAAAGTGACACCCAGTGGGCCTACCATTCAAACACCGAACGTTCTCTTTCCAGAAAAAAAGCTCTTCTTTGACAGAATGGGACAAAGGAAACCTAGAGTCCCAACTAGACTGAAGGACGATGGACACATGAATAAACTTTGTCATCAACGGTTGTAACATTACCTACAGCTAGTTTAAAGGAATTAATACGACCAGCAAGAACGGACAGTTCCCTGGCAGTGCAACAATTAGCCTCTAAAAGGGAATCAATATCAGAAAGAACCCGTTTGAGTTTTATCCCCTGAACAAAAAGGAAACCCTGAAAAAGATCAATGGGGAAACCCAAACAATCAACTGCTGATGTAGGAACCCAAACAGATTTCTCGAGGTAGGGTACAAAGCCAGAACGAATCAAATCAGTCTTAACCCTGGTGGAATGGTCTAAAGCAACCGGATATGAAGGCCCCTCCCCTAAACCATCATAAATATAAACGACAATGTGAATACCAACCCACCTTCAGTAGGCAACGAGAGGCCTAAAAATCTTTGTGTAAACAAAAGGGGTTGAACAGAGGCCGAAGGGCAGGACCCTGAAACAAAACTAACGGACCTTACCCTGGTAAGCTGGTAAAACCAGGAAAAACCCAAAAATGTCTGGTGGGGCGGGAAGATAAGGACATGATGATAACCCCTCTTAATGTCAAATGAAAACATGAAATGACCCTTGTCAAAATAATTCAGAGCCACCTTAAGAACCTCAAACTTGACCTTTGGCTTCCAGACATGCTTATTTACAAACCTAAGGTCCAAGATCAACCTCTTCCTCCCAGATGATTGAACAGAAACGGAAAGAGGGTTGACGTTATGAGGCAGGACCTCCGATCCAAAAATGCGATTGGTAACCAACAATTAGGAAACAGCTTCGTTAACAAAATCAGAATGCGTCAAAGCTAGCTGACTTATTATAACTAGAAAAACTAACAGGGGGTGTAGAGTGGAAAGGAATACGATAACCATGCTCGATAACATCTAGAATAAATTGACTGGCGCCTATAGAACGCCAAAACTGAACAATGATATGGGATTTTAGCCTACCGGCTACAACGATAGTAGAACTACGACCCTGTTCATATTAAAAAAAAAGTCAAAATCATCTTCAACAAAATTCCTTAACTTATCTGTGTCCTCGACGAGTGCACCAACATCCGAGTCCATCACGTACGTTTCCCAGGTTGGCTAGGTGAAAACTACGCCTGAAGGACGGGGCACTGATTCCTGAAAAGGCCGAAACTGCCAAAACTGCCGACACTGCCAACACGCGAACCACGGTGAGCCTTAGGCCAATTGACGGCAACGAAAGGGTTCGAAAAATTGGAACCTTCCTTTAACTCTTCGAAGGCCTTTTCAACTTGAGGCGAATACGCCTGAAGGGCGGTCGAAGCAGACTGGACGTGTTCAAGAACTTCAGAATTAAGTAGGAACTGCTTCTCGTTGCCTTTCTTTTAAAACTTCGGAACACTAGCAGTAGCTGTCTTGAGCTTCTTCAGCGCAGCGTCGTGTTCTTGTGCAAGTTCTCTCTTTAAAGAAGATAAACCAGATCGAAACTCGTCTTTGAGCTCGGAAATGCTTCGCGCGAGATCATCATCGGACGGCATTTTAAAATTTGATAGTTCGAGAGCTGAGATGAATACATTACAACTGTCAAAACCTTATATACCTTACAACAATAGAGTCAATTAACGCCATAGCGGCTCACGTGCGTTCATACCAATAGGAAAGTATTTACATTCTCTGTCACTGCCACTACGTTTAGCTCCGCCGAATGTAAATACATCTCTGTGCATGCACTAAGCACGTGCAGTTGAGAAAAGTCCAGGCAATCTAAATTTTGCTGTTTCCACAACTGTCCCAGATATTGCAGACTCCGCGGGAAAACCCCAGACCCAGACAAAGGATTCTTTACCCCGGACGGATAATTACTCGCGCCCAGGCCCTGTGGCCGGCATGGGTCGAAATCTGATAAATTATTTTGGTTTGAAAATTTTCCGTTGCACAATCTTCCGTTTTTAGCGGGAGTTTGTAGTGGTTGTGAAGAATGCATTTTGTAAGCATCTGCTCTACAGTTGTGTATAGTTTTAACTTTTCTCTCCTATTACGCTCAATATATATTTACAACTGTAGAGGCCGATCGCAGTCCCCTATACTCTCAAAGATGTCGACGTCGGCAATAACCATAAAATAGCTAAATAAATTCAACACAGTCCAGTGTAACTACTAAGAATTGCATTACACACGGAAGCCAGGCAATTTTTTCCTTGGCACTCTTTTCAGTTTCTCGCTTCTTTTCTTTTAAATCTAAACTGAAAATGATCATCCATTTTGGCATAGGTAGCGATGCGTCAGTGTAAATCCTCCATTTTTATAGTCATATTGACTGCTTCGGGTTCTACGTCACAAAACTCAGTACAGGAACAGCTGGGTATGGGGTTGGGTGGCTGTGATATTTCCCTCCTTCTGAGCTCTCTGAAGGCGCAATATATGTCACATTCACCCTTAGGTATTTTTTTTTTGCTTTTTGCAAGAACGTGCAATAATTGCCTACATTTGTAAATCTTCTGTTATGATAGACAGTTAATTGGTCTTACCTTATCTAGCCTGCGTAGCTGGCGGAATAGTGTACTAGTGGAGTGAGATTTGGCGGTGGAGCCGTCATGAGCGGCGAAAGCTGCCACGAACGGCGAAGCTTCGAAACGCTTCGTCCCTACTCCCTTTTTCGATCACGGCTCCGCCGCCAAAACTTTAATCGCGCACCGACACAATACCGCCAGCTACGCAGGCTATACCTTATCGTGCTTTCTCTGTATAGGTCATATATTACCAACAACCGTGTTTGTAGCCTTTCTCCTGAGCTCTTTTTCAGAAGGAAACTCTTTTCTCGGTAAATTGGTTCCTTTTTTCAAAATTAAATCCTCCAGCCGGAACAGTAAGTAGAAGTAGTGTTAACGCGCGGGCCTTAGAGTCAAGAGTTAAAGCTGCATCCCAGTGGGAAAAAGCCATTCCCTAAATCTTTCCTGTAAAATAATGGTGAATTATAGGAAAATAAAAGTAATGAGTTCTCGAAGCAAGTATGCGTGGGCAAAACCGCATAGGTTCAAAATCGCCTGCTCTTGAATCCGGGAGTTGAGTAGTGCGTAGCGTTTAACACTCACTAAGGGACGGACCATTAGAAACGGGAAGACGGGATCAAATACAAAAAATAAACTGATTCGCGTAAGGGAAAACCTTATGAAAAAAATTCATGCGCTCCGAGTAGCCTTAAAAAAATTAATACCCCTGCACTGGCCTAAAATAGTTCATGCAAAAGAAACGATAACGAAACTGGGAAAAAACATGTGGCTCGAAAATTCTCCACCCCAACAATAGAAATGCACTACCCGGATAAGGCAAGTGGGTTAAGAATTATCAATATGCATACCTGATGCTCTTTTCATTTTCTTTTCATTACTGTTTCTATTTATAATGAACAGAGGGTGGGTTAATTTATCGAAGAGGAAAGCCACTTTCATTTTCGGAACAAAGGTCACAAAGTTTGACGTTATTTTTTGGCTTTGTTATGTTTAGGCCTTTTCCGGGTTTCATATTTGTTCTTAGCTACTGGTTTCGTTCTTCCTTCTTTCCATATTGCTTACTATGTAGCATATGTGATGAATAGCCCGGGATATTTCCCTCTAAGCGCTTAACAAGCATCACTTGTAACTGTAC